CGTATGGTTAACATGCATCCGTAGCTTCCTTAATTTTCACTGGAAAGGCAGAGAAAAACATGCAACAGTTAAAACTATATAAAAAAAAAAACAAACTATTTTTTTTTCCTGGCAGGCTTCCATTTTTTTACTGCATTTTTATTTCAAGCTAGGTCCCAGCACTAATTCCTCAATGGGCACTGCAAGTGGAACAGGGAAATTTTACTAAGGACAAGGTATGTGCCTTTCAACCCTTTTGCCAACTATTTAAATGCTTTGCTGCTTTGCAGTGTGCCCCTATGGCCAGAGCCTCTGTCACTGGTCCCGAGGCAGAAGAGGCCTACCAGGGAATGCATTTTTTGGGACCAGAATGTTGCTGGACTGACTTCCTAGAAATGAGCAAACCTACTGTTTGGCTCCTACACACAAGATCATGTAACTCAGTGGCGTGTAAGTGGAAACTACATGTTGCCACACCTGCTGATGCAAAGAGGTGTTCTGAAGCAGCTGAGTACAATGTACTTAAAGTTTATCAAAGCGTGTTGAAAATGTTTTTAGGTTCAGTAGCTGATGTTTTTTACATTTTAACAGTGTTATGCAGGGGAATGTTTCTTGTATTTGAGAATGCCAGATAGCTCATAATATGGGCAGTGTTTTTTGTTTGAGAAAACTGCTATCTTTGAACAATGCTGTAAATTTACGTGGAGCCAAATTTTCCTCCAAAACTGGAAGTTTAAGTACTTTGGCTGACTTCATTGCAACTCCTCCTGATCTAGAGCAGGATATGACTTTGCAGATATGCTAAATGTGATTGCTCTAAGTGACCCAGAAATCATTTTGCATATATCCCTTTTCTAAACTGTCCCAGCAGAAATGTCTTCTGTTGAATTGGTATAACATGAGACTAGCTGCAGGCTTTTAACTAAGCAGCTAAACCAGCATTCAAGGTGGACATCATAGCTTGAGGCACAAAGCAGAACTAAAAGTTGCAGAAACAACAACAACAAAAAAGAAGGGTTGCTGTACTGGATGTCCTTTCTAAGACTATAGTAAAAGGGCGCAGAAGTAATGCAAAGGCATCCAAATGTTTGAAATATGCAATAGAAATTTATGGAGAAAACATGATTCCCTGGATTTTGTAACTGTCCAGAATGTATTGTAATTATACTTATGAAAACAAACTATCAAAGTACATACTGGTACTTCTGTGTCTTCTTAATAGAAGAAAATTGTTCGGAAGGCTTTAACAAGTACTTGGGCCTTCCCATTCACAAATGAGTCTGAGCTTGCAGGTGATATTTTAGTTAATAGGAAAATGGGTATATAACACACTTGTCAAATATCAGAACAGTGAAGTCAGAGTGAAGGGATGGTCTTAGCAAAGCTGCCCCTAATAATACTATGGGCTATGTCTGCCCTGCAGCCTCTTCTGCTGCAGGTGAGAAGTAGGTAAATGGACAGACGCTGAGCTGTGTGAGGTTGGTTAGATTGCTATCGGTGCCTCAGCAAACTGGAATAATGCAGTGGCTGTGTCCTATGGCAACACAGACATCCCAGTAGTTTAAAAGTGCTACATTTCATTTGACTGTCTATTGCAGTTGGCATTTTCAAAGAAGGAAATGATATGTTTACACTGGTGGGAAAATGCTACTCAGTATTGAACATATCAAATAGCTGCACACTTTGAAATATGCACTAAGGTGCAAAAGGATGCTATGATAATATAAAGATTAAACTGCTCTAAATATGACCTGCAGACATTCTTTTAATATCCCAAGTGGTGTTTTTCTCTTGATTGTTACTTTTTTCCACAAGTCTGAAGGTTTTTTTCTTCGGAAATGTCATTATCTTTCCTGATTTTGTTAAAGGAATCTGCTGAAAAGTTCAGAACTAATTTTCTCATGGTTGAAATTGAAGAGGGCGGAGTACTCGAATCTTTTCTGATGACCTTTCTTCAGAAAAAACAAAACTGTATTTGAACAGCCTGGCTAAAAATCCCTCAACTTTTTTAGCTACCGATTCCTTACTCTTTATTAAAGATAACACAAGCATGGGTTCTTGACTTTTCCCTTTAAAAGGGCAAACAGGAAAGTCCTGCAAAAAGTGAAAAATCTTGGCATGAATCTTTGACACAGTGCAATGAGAAAGGGAGATGATTTGCATCTGCTGAAATATAACATCAGTACGTGTTCTATTTATGGAGCATCGTGAGTCACAAGTGAGTTCAGTGTTCACATCGGATCAACATTTCCCTACAAGTTCCCTGTTTAGGTATAAGAAGTCTAAATTGGAATTTTTTACTTTTTTAAAAAGAGTCTTGATTCTTTAATAAGTTTCCAAGAAAACATAGAACATTACAGCACTAAAATGCAACGGATGCATTTAAATACGTAGCAGAGACAACTTTAAATGATAAAAATTTTCAATATAATTTTGTAATGAATGCTGTAAAAAGATTAAAATGAGAGGGCAGGAACATTTTTTTAAGGTTGTATGTTCCATAAGTTTCAGTCATTCCTTAAGAAATTGTTATTCTCTCTTGTAGCTCTGTCAAAGAAACCAGAAGGAAAGTGTAATTGTAAAAGCAGACATTTGGTTTTTAAAGAAACAGGTAATATATGAATTCATGAAGCTATAACTTAACATGTAATATAATGCAATACATATAGGAAAGAAATAGGCCATTTGTTGTGGTTTGGCCTCAGCCATCAAATTAGCACCACATAGCCACCGGCTCACACCCCCCAGAGTGGGACAGGGAGGAGAATCAGAAAGAAGGTAAAACCTGTGGGTTGAGATGAGATCGGTTTAATACTTGAAATAAAATATCAATAATAGATAGTAATGCATACTTCTCCAGGATAATTGTGAGACTTCTCAGTCTAGCAGGAATTAGGTTTGAGTATTGGATATCTCCCCATTTTTAGAAATAATATTAAAATGCAGTGTTTAGTTACAATGTTATCCTTCATGCCGAATCTACATTTTCCTTAAGTACTTGTTTGTTCCATGTATAGAAAAACTGTCATTGGGATGGGAGACTAAATTCCCATTAATAGCAATACAGGAGCCACCTCGCAGATGCTTTTGCATAGCTTTTATTCATAATGTGACAGAGAACCAAGTAAAATTCATCACTGAGCATGATACCTACAAATCATAGAAAGCCAGTTGCATTTTTAGACATTTTTAGTGTATAGTAGGGCATATTTTAATAAACGAGGGGACCAAGGTTGTCCCAGGTAGCATTTTCAAAATACTACCAGAAGCTCACACAAGATAATTTTATGGGGTTCTCTTTTAAGTATCTCTCTAATATGACCAAGTCCTTATCAAATTGCTGTGTCTGCATGGCTTGGATTAAGAAGGAGGTATGGATTCTCAGTATTCAAATAAATTTGTCTTTTTGAATGAGCTTTTCCTCTCTTACTTACGAAAAAGTGGCTTATCTCTGTTTTGGGCTTCTTAAAAAGAGATTTAAAAACTTCACTGGACCTCTACCTTAGGAAACATCAGCAATTCCCATGTGAGCACCTTTTTTTTCCTTTTGTTTCGTGCTTCAGTACTGGCATCTAAACAAAATCTTCAGTTAAGTGCTCTAGTCACTAGTGGTGTCCCCCATGGCTCAGTATTGGGCCCATCCTGTCCAATGTCTTTATTGATGATCTGGATGAGGGGATTGAGTGTACCCTCAGTAGATTCACAGATGACACCAAATTGGTTGGGTGTGTCAGTCTGCTGGAGGATAGGAGGGCTCTGCAGAGGGATCTGGACAGGCTGGACTGCTGGGCCAGGGCCAAACAGATGAGGTTCTACAAGGCCAAGTGCTGGGTACTGCTCTTGGGTAACAACAACCCTATGCAGTGCTGCAGGCTGGGGGCAGAGTGCCTGGAAAGCTGCCCAGCAGAAAAGGACCTGGGAGTGCTGGGCAACAGCAGCTGAACATGAGCCAGCAGTGTGCCCAGGTGGCCAAGAAGGCCAATGGCATCCTGGTTCATATAGGAAATAGTGTGGCCAGCGGGACCAGGGAAGTGATTGTCCCTCTGTACTCAGCACTGGTGAGGCCACACGTCAAGTACTGTATCCAGTTCTGAGCCCCTCAGTTCAGAAAGGACATTGAGGTGCTGGAGCGAGTCCAGAGAAGGGCAATGAAACTGGTGAAGGATCTGGAGCACAAGTCCTATGAGGAGCGGCTGAGGGAGCTGGGAAAAGGAAGCGCAGGGGTGACCTTATCGCTCTCTACAGCTACCTGAAAGGGGGTTGTAGCCAGGCGGGGTCAGCCTCTTCTCCCAGGTAACTAGTGACAGGACAAGAGGACACAGGCTCAAGCTGCATCAGGGAAGATTTAGTTTCGGTATTAGGAGGAATTTCCTCTTAGAAAGGATGATTAAACATTGGAATGAGCTGCCCAAGGTGGTGGTGGAGTCACCATCCCTGGAGGTCTGTGGGAAGACTGGATCTGGCACTCAGTGCCATGGTCTAGTTGACAGGGTGGTGTTGGGTCATAGGTTGGACTCAATGATCTCAGAGGTCTTTTCCAACCTAATTGATTCTGTGACTCTGTGCTTGGCCTGTAGCAGCTCTTTGTTAAGAGAAAAAGCATTGTTACAGGCTGAGCAGGGTTGGGTTGGTTTTTTTTTTTGGACCTACCACGAAGGGTCCTGGATTCTGATACAAGACTTTAAAAACAGTTGTGCCGTTACTATTGTTACACTGTGGGCATCTACTGGATTCATCTATTTTAATTCTTCACATTAGCTGTTAAATTATCAGCCTTCAGGTTTTGAAGATTAGATAGAAGACTAGGCTTGATAGACTAGATCCAAAAGTAGGGGAAATGAAGAGTAAAGCTGGGAGTGGCTCTACTCGGCAGAAATGGACTTTTCTTTTTTGTTGTTTTCCTTTAACTGCAGTCGTAGGGTTTGATTTTGGTTTCGTGCGTTTTGCTGCCGGGGCGGGGCGGGGCGGAGGCGGTGGGGAAGCGGTTCCGGGGTTGGGAGGGCGGCACCGCCCATCATGTGACAGCGGCTCCGAGGGGAAGCGGCGGCGGGACCGTGCAGGGCGCGCCGACGGCGCCGACAGGTATGGCAGGGCGGGCAGGGCAAGGCAAGGCAAGGCAAGGCAAGGCAAGGCAAGGCAGGGCAGGGCAGGGCAGGGCAGGGCAGGGCAGGGCAGTGCCGCGCCGCGCCGCGCCGCACCTCTCCCCTCTGCCCCCCTGCCCCCCTGCATACACACCCTTCCCCGGTGCGCGGTGGTCTCGGCCCAACCGCGCTCCCCTCCTGGGGCGGGTGGGAGCGGCCTCTACCACGGCGGCGGGGCGGGGGGGAGCGGCCGGCCAGGCCTCGGGGAGGGAGCGCGCCCTCCCTCTCTCTCGCCGCTCCCCTCCTTCGGGGCGGCGGCCGCGCCTCTGCTGACCGGGCGCCCTCTGTCTCGTCTCTCAGGCCCGCAGAGGTGGCGGCGGCAGCAGCGCCGGGCGGGCCCCAGCCATGGCCGACGTGAGTGTGGCTCCTCGGGGCGGGCGGGACGCGGGCGGCGGCTTTTGGCGGGGGCCGGGAGTCGGGGGGATCGGGCCGGGTCCGTCCGGGGCGAGGGCGGGCCGGGGCCGGGGCCGGGCGGGGAGGCAGCGCCGGGGAGAAGGGGTGTTGGGGCCGGTCGGGGAGGCAGCTCGGGGCTCCCCCGCCCTCTCCGAGCGGGTGAGTAACGCGGTGCCCGTCTCTGCCCGCAGGACTTGAAGCGGTTCCTGTATAAGAAGCTGCCGAGGTAACTCTGGGTCTCTGCGGGGCGAGGGACCAAGGCCATCTAATCCCAACCCCCCCCTGCTATGGGCAGGGACACCTCCCACCAGACCAGGCTGCTCAAAGCCTCATCCAATCTAGCCTTGAACACTGCCAGGGCTGGGGCATCCACAACCTCCTTGGGCAACCTGTTTCAGTGCCTCACCACCTTCCCAGTAAAGAATTTCTTACTAATATCTAACCTAAATCTTCCCTCTTCTAAGTTGTACCCATTACTCCTTGTCTTGTCACTACAGTTCTTGACAAAAAGTCTCTCTCTGGCTTTCCTGTAGGCCTCCTTCAGACACTGGAGGGCTGCTGTGAGGTCTCCACGCAACCTTATCTTTTCCAGGCTGAACAGCCCCAACTTCCTCCAGTCCCCTTATCAACTTTGTGGCCTTCCTCTGGGCTTGCTCCAGCAGTTACATGTCCTGCATATTATTGGGAGCACCAGAACTGTACTGTCTGAACTACACAGAACAAGTATTAAATTACTGAAGGCATCAGTTTTTAACATGTTTTCCCCCTTCCTTGCACATTTGTTCAGAAAAAAATCTTTGCTACTAATTACTGTGGTTTTAAAATGGTGTCTCTTCGTCATCCTTCTCTTTTTTTTTTGCAGTGTTGAAGGTCTTCATGCTATTGTGGTCTCAGACAGAGACGGTGTGCCTGTTATCAAAGGTAACTTCAGCTTCTTGCTGTACCCTACAGCTGAAATCGTGATTGAACAGCAGGGGGTGGAGAAGTACAGCAAAATCTTCTCTGGTTATGCCAAATACCTGAATATACCAAATGGAAGAATTAAATTCGACTTTTATTTCAAGTTCAGTAATTGATTATGTACCTCTTTAAATGCATCCGTTTGTTTGTGTCCTCAGTAATTGCAGTCCATGGAAGTTTTCCTTGGTGAAAGGGGTTTTAATGCTATAAGGTCCTTATATCTTCAAGTCACTCGCAGGCTGATTGATACTGAGTACTAGAGAGAGCTTAGCAGTATTTTGTTGACTGGGCTGGTCTGTGCTTGGAAACAGTTGCATCCAGTTGTTACATATGTTTAGTTTGCTTTTTGGTACTGTAGTTTTTATCTTCTGCATTTCTTGTTCAAGATGCTTTTATGTTGTGAGTACGCTAGTTTAAAGATACAAAGGTTCAAATACTGCAGATTTATTTTTTTTTTAATCCGGAAAAGTATTGAAACTCCCAGCAGAACTCGCACATCTTCACCTGTTCACAGTCAAGTGACTGTGTTGCAGTAATCAATTCAAAGGCTGGAATGGGTGCAGACAGTGAGGGATATGGAACCCAAGGGGCATCAGCACAGGCTCTGCATCCTAAAAGAAAAGACTGTTTCTTAGGTACGCCAGGAAGGACACTTGGTGTAATGAGCTTTCATCACATACAGAACATTAAAGGATGTATTGCTCATGAAGATTGTCTTGTGCTAATTGTGGAAGCACCTAAGATGTGCTGTGTGTTCCCCAACAGCAGATCTGCTTTTGGCAGAGCACTACACTGGATAAGGGCTTGGGATGCAGTCAGAGATGCCATGTAAAGATAAGAATTTTCTCGTTTTGTTCCAGTTGCCAATGATAATGCTCCAGAACATGCACTGCGACCTGGCTTCCTGTCCACCTTTGCCCTTGCCACAGATCAGGGCAGTAAATTAGGACTTTCTAAAAACAAAAGTATTATCTGCTACTACAATACGTACCAGGTGAGTAACCTGAGTGTGCTTTGTCTTCAGTGACCTGAACTGTTTCTATATTACATTGAGCAAGAGAGAGAGAGTGGTTTAAACTTTTGTATCCACTTGGCTGCTGTTGAAGTAATTGTGGTTTATTTCTTATTTTGCTTAAATGGCTAAGCCAAAATTTCACACTGTTTATTAAACTTCCCTTATATGTCTCAAAACTGAGATTTACTCACTGAAATTGGGAAAGTTTTCTGTACAGGTAGTAATCATGAATTTGCAGCAGATACTGCTCATATGGCCTTCAGAATCTGTTATGAAGGGTTTATGTTCTCTTTTATAAACAATATTTGTTTGTAGTTAGTGACATCTAAAGTTAATTAAGCACATGCAGCCTACTTCACGTAGTGTGACTTTGAGGTGAGAAAGTTTTGAAATACCACTCACATTGTTCACAAACTGATATTTGTGTAATCCATCGCCTGCTTTGTTTCTGCTCCTTCTCAAATTCTAGTGGTCCTGAGAGCTTTTTGTTATGACTGCAGTAAACTGACAAACAGTTTAGCCTACAGTGTATCAAGCTTTGTTTGGATAATAAATGGGTCAGTGAGTTATTTTACACACATGGAGTACATGCTTTGATTCTCTTGATGCTGTAGCTTATTGTTATGCCCAAAGTTCCAGTTCCCTATTAATGGAAGAAGAGATACTTCTGTATAGGGAACAGTATTTTAAAATGATAAACCTGCCTGCCCTCTTGTTTCCTCTGGAGAGCATGGCCTCCATGGTGTACTCTTCAGCATTTGCAGCTGAATTGGGTTTCTGGTGGACAACACACTGTAGAACATGGAGGGGGAGGGAAGTACCAGGCTTTTCCCATGCAGCTCCTTGTACTGTGGTGTAAGTTCTGTTGGTGTTTTTAACCATTAATCTTGAGAAATAGATAAACTGAAAAGTCATCCCTGTGGCTCTTGCTCCTGCTTGTCCTTTAAACTGAGAAGGCTGCTTTTTTCCAAAAGAATTTGTGTCAGAGCTCCAACGTCCAACATGCATTAGCTTCTGTCTGAGCACTGTTCTCTCTCCTTGCAGGTGGTGCAGTTCAATCGCTTGCCTTTGGTAGTGAGTTTCATTGCTAGCAGCAATGCCAATACCGGTATGTCTTCACATGCATTTTAAATACTGCAGTCTTTTAAGGCCCAGGTATTTAAGTAATTGAAAATAAATTACCTGAATTCACTTCTAACTGTATTAACTTTGCTCCTGCTGTGAATTTTGTCAGCATATTGTGAAGGTGAGAAGGGAAAGGTGTGAGTAAAAATTCAGAGATTTTAGGTGACTTGCTGAAGTTATTCTTCTAGAAGCATGTTTCTCCTGTGACTAACCTTACTCTTGCTACCTGAGAGTGTTTGCTATCCTGGCAGTTACTGTGCTGTACAAACCAGTTGTTCGGTCTCTTTCTGTCGGTTCCAGGTTAACATTTTGCAGTAATGTGCAGCTGTGTCTTCTCAGTTCTGTGGGGTGGGGAATTCCTTCAGCCAGGCACCTGGCCTTGCTCATGATGGCTGATGAATATGAGCAGAAGGCACTGGATTTTGGCACAGCTGTTTGGGCCCCAGTAGCTGTGGGAAGCAGCAAGGCGATAGTGGGGGGAGAGCTGCACTGTGTGGGGTGTGCCTCTGCTAGTGGTGGGGGCTGCAGGCCCCCTGCCTGGGGGTGCTGCACACTGTTCCCGTGGAGAGTGAGCAGCTCAAGTAAAACATTTCATGTTTTGAAAAACGCTGCCTTTGACTTGGGAGGGGGAGGGAGCTGCAGGCTTTAGAGGGAGGCTTCTCAGTGATGTTGTCTGATGGAATGTTCTGTCTCTTTTCTCTTTCCAGGGCTGATTGTAAGTTTAGAGAAGGAGCTCACGCCCCTGTTTGAAGAACTGAGGCAGGTTGTTGAAGTTTCTTAACTTGATGGTATAGCCAGAGTGCAACATTCCTCTGCAGCCCAGTGGACAGAAGGATTCAATAATTGTCAGTCAAATAACATGTCTCAGAAGAAATATCACAGCTCCTTAGTATACTAAGTAAGAGTAAATTGTACATAGTACTGAATCTGAAATGATCTACTAGTGTGTTGTAGGTGGATGTTACTTTAGGCCGTGCTTCTTGTATTGTGCAGTACTGGAGAGACCACCAAAATAGCTCCCATGGAGTTTAGCTGAGCCAGATCGGCACAACGCTGTTGGCTCAGACGAGCAACCCACAGATCCTTTGCTTTACAGGGAACCAGGCACACACAGCAGGGTGTATCCTCAGGCCGGCCACTGCTACATGGTGGAGAGCAGATCAGTTGTGTAGTGTGATCAAGGACATGGTTGAAAGCATATTGGGAGAGAAGGTTTATTAGCAGTGATGTGTCGGTACAATCAATAAATATCCCGGCTTTCTTACATGGGTGATGCTTTGGCAAGGGTGTGCTACTAATGTGGATGCTAGCTGCATCCTGCTTCCACTAAGAAGAAAGTTGTTTCTATGGAAGCTGTCGCTTTAGGAGGTTTCCTGATGCCCAGCTGAAAGCACCCAAACCGTGTCTCACTTCTTCATAGGGTTTTTTTGTGTAATATGGTTGTGAAGATCTCATGTCTCAGTCTTTGTGTGGCTTCATCACTGGTGACACTCTTAGCTCATTTACTCTTAGGTTTTCATAAGTAAATAAATATAAATAAAATACAGTATTTTTAAATGACAGAGCCTGGTCCACTCTTCTGTTGCACCATAATACCCCACAGCACATCAGCTTTCCTGTGCTGAGAACAGGTCTCTTGATTGTAAATGCACAAAATCTAGAAGTTTACAGGTTGAAAACTAACCCGTGTGTCTCTCACTTGGGCAGCAAGGATACACAGTCCTGTGCCAGTGCAGAGATCCTGTTGGTGGGGATCAATCCTGTGGTCTTTGCCACCCCCTTGTTCCCTCCCACATTCCCCTTGTGATAACTGCCAAGCACTGCAGGTCTGAGGGAGAGCTCTGGACAAGTCTCTGCCTCAGGCTGGGAAAGGGGGTGCCACAGCCCCTTGTTTACACCTTGTGGACCTGCAGCATCAGGCATGATAGGGGGAAATGGTGGAGCTGGAAATGAGCACTGGGAATTCTTGGCTCAGAAGCTCTCCCAGAGACTACAGATTGTCAGTCAACCCTTTGCCATTTAAACTGAGCTGCAATGAGACTTTTGTTGCTGATCTTTACAGAAGCAGCTGGAAATTGAGCCCCAGGGTGTCTCTCTGTATTTCTGGCAAAGTGCATTTGTGTTCCATTGAAGGTCTACTCCTGCTGTTCGTCTGCCTGTGCGGGCTTCCAAGGCCAGCTGAGTGCTGTTTCTTTTACTGGCTTCAGTTTGTGACACTCATGTGCTGAACATTGTAAAGCAGCTGTCCGTGTGAAAAAGGGAAGGTTGGTTTTATGGTTACACGTCAAACTCCATTTCCAAGCCATTTTCCCAGAACAGTGATGCTGCTGGAGAAAATCATCTCTCTCTTCCCCTTACGCTGCCTCTCTCTCACACAGACTCAGCAAAGGTTTTCAAGCTAAATGGAAGATGCCGGTTTGTTAAACCACTTCTTTAAGGGAAAAAGGAGGACAAAGCTTTAACAATACAGTACAGGAAGACAAATACCCGTGCTAGTTTTATAATGACATTTTATTCAGAAAACAGTCTGTATAAAAATATTTACAAGTATTTTGAATTTCTAAGTTGCAATAAAATGCTATTCCTATGTCCAAATCTAGATTTTCTTTCTTCCAGTGTGTTTTAATCTTCCTCTTCTGCAGTCTTCTCACAGTAAAGGCAGTTACGTAACACTGACCTGCTGCGTGAGCAATGCTCAACACAGACTGCAGTGTTTGCACAGTGGGAGGTTTGTGTGTGCTGTTTCAGCATAAATTTGACTGTTATGCAGGGAGACAGGGCCTCCCTGCTCTTTCCCTACCCCTCCAGGAGACTCAGGATTGCTCAGGGTATCTTGCAGGTGGGTCAGCCAATGAGGTCGGGCCAAGTGGTCTTGGGCCTCTCCAGTGTGTCAAGCTTTTCTTCCAAAATGTAACATCTATTTTGACTACAGCACCAAAGTCCTGGGCTTCCACTTTTTGTCCCTGTAGTGAGCCACACTGTTAAATGTATATGAGTCTTGCACAATACAGATGTAAAATTATATCAGGTTATGTAGAAGATGTATTCTGTTAAATTTGTATTTTTAGCATACATGGTGCTCCTTGTTCAATATAAAGCAAGCAGTGCTTAATTCTAAACACAGTTCTGGTCAAAATCTTGTTTTGAGTTCTCTGTGTGAGGAAAAAAACCAACAGAATGTGGTGCATTTTGTTGTGATGAAAAAATACAAAGCCTGGTGCATTTTCAAGGGGGACTGTAATGAGCCTGACTCGTAATGCTGCTAACAACGCTGGTGGCTGCTACAGGCAAAGCTCTTCTGCAGAGCCCTGTCACCCAGCCTTGGGGTCCTGTGGCACCTCTGTCCTGTGACTGCCTGGAAACAGCTTCCTGTTTCTTGTAACCCTGGTTTGTAAACAAGCGTGCCTACATGATGCTGCTCACCATTACCTATTTGAAAAAAGCATTCACTTGTAGCCATCACTGTGGTATAAATCTAAACCATATAAAAACATATCTGACCAGAACTAAGTCATCCATCACTTTGAAAAGGGCCATGAAATATTCTCTGGATTACAACATAGATACTATTCACAAAAATGTAATTACCTCTGTCATTTTTGTTTTGGCTTAAAGCCTAAATAGGTAATAAAAAAGAGATATTTAATGTTTCCAGGAATGACTCGTTTTAAATAACAGGCTCAATGTGATCACAACAGAATGTGATACTGATGGTTAGTTGTGATGGAGCTTGCCATAAATTATCAAGAGTACTCTGAATAACCACAAAAGTTGTCAACAGTGACTACTTCTGTGATGAGTTAACAGGTGTTTGAATTAAGTGCATTACAGACATACACCATATCAAACCAACCCTGGTTTTGCAGCAGTCTCCATGTGTGATTCCGCAGCCGGGGAGCACTCAGCTGTGGGGATCCTTTGTGTGCAGAGCTGGGTGAAGGTCTGTGCGGTGCACAGGCAGGCACACACCCACTGTGAGATGTGAAACTGTCTTCCAGTAAGCACTGCCTCACCTTGGCAGAGAGGCAATTCCTGCCAACGGAGCAGTGCTGGCGGCACAGCTAGGAACTGAGGGTGGCGTTGCGTTCCTCCAGCTGCTTCCGTATTTGTGACTGGAACAGAAAGACAATCCATTACTGTTTGTCGGCACGCGTGCGGATGTGGGTCAGTATGACCAACCCGATTACTGATATTTCTTAGGAAGTAGTGCTTTCAAGCTTTTACATTTTCTTCTCATGACCCAACATGTGTGGTCTGTGCTGATGATCCATAATGTTTACCAACCACATAATCACAATCCTTAAAGATGGAAGTAATTTTTTCTTCCTAATGAGCATACATATTAAAAGTTGCATCCCAAAAATGTGACAGTGGGTTTGCAAGCATATACATTGTGCCCCTGTACTCAGCACTGGTGAGGCCACACCTCAAGTGCTGTGTCCCGTTCTGGGCCCCTCTATTCAGGGAGATCGTTGAGGTGCTGGAGTGAGTCCATCAGAGAAGGGCAACGGAGCTCATGAAGGGTCTGGAGCACAAGCCTTATGAGGAGCTGCTGAGGGAGCTGGGCGTGTTCAGCCTGGAGAAGAAGAGGCTCAGGGGAGACCTTACTGCTCTCTAAAAATACCTGAAAGGAGGTTGTAGAAAGGTGGGGATTGGCCTCTTCTCCCAGGCAACTAGTGATGGACAAGAAGAAATGGCCTCAAGCTGCACCAGAGGAGGTTTAGGTTGGACATTAGGAGGAATTTCTTCACAGAAAGGTTGATAAGATATTGGAATGGGCTGCCCAAGGAGGTGGCGGAGGCACCATCCCTGGAGGTATTTAAGAAGAGACTGGATGTGGTACTCGATGCCATGGTCTAGTTGACAAGGTGGCCATCTGTCAAAGGTTGGACTCAATGATCTCAGAGGTCTTTTCCAACCTAATTGATTTTGTGATTATGTGAAAACTATGTATTCCAGCCTAGCTGGCCTGGAAGCCAGAACAAATATTCCCCTCTTGCAGGTGCTGAGAACTGTAATACTTGGGTGCTACAGTACTGGGGGGATTTATGATTGGCAGTACCAAGGGTGCTGCTGCCTGAGCTGTCCTGCCATGTAACTGCACATCCCTTACCAGTTTCCATCGCAGTATTTTAATCCACTCATCAGCTTCTATTCCAGTTTTTGCACACAGGTAGTATGTCCTTAGTGGGAACACTAAACTGTAAGTAAACAGAACTTTCTTAGATTGCTAGAACAACTGGGAGTTTTTCCTAAAACTGAGCCCAGCTGGCCTGCACCAACAGTTGGTCAGACAGAGCCGGGCAGGAAGGCTGTGCTCCCACTTAGCCATCAGGAGGGAGGTTAACCAGGAATGGCCGACAGTCATTTACAGCTCAGGGAGATGCTGTCCCAGGTCCATGGGGATAAAAGACCCTTGTCTGGGCACAGAAGTGATTACCGTGTGACCTGTAGTAATGTCTGAACCCAAGATCCATGGGTCTAGGAGATGGTTATACAGGCTTACAGAATTAGAAAAAGAAATGCCCACTACACATAGGCCCACCTTTTGCCAGCAGTAATTTGGCAAACCATGCAGGACTGAGGCTGGCTGCCAGAAAGAGACTCATGACTTAGAGGATCAGCAGGGTCACAACCAACAAGGGACCTTTCAGAAGCACTCAGTGTTTACATTTCTAACTTCCCTTTCTATTTCGACCTTCCCAGCAAGATGAACAAAGTACTGCTGCTTACCAGAAACAATTGACTCTTTCCTGGGAATAGTCAAATTGCACAGCTGAGCATTCAGTTAAGTCAAGTGCCCGAATCGGTTCTGTGGCCTTGAAAATAAAATGTTTTTAAAATGGGAACACATGAAAACAGAAGATAAGGCTATCTCAGTTCATCTTCAGTGCATTTAGACCTTTACTAGATTTTTCCAGGCATAGATACAATAGTTGTAACACCATAAATCCAAACTAGCAAATGTAACATCAGTATTATCATATGAATTGATCTAAATATAAAAAACCCAGGACAGTTCAGATCTGGACAAAAAACTAGAGGAGATCTCTAGTTCAGGAATGTTTGAGCTAGATGCAGACTGCTGAAGATTTGGCTGATGCCTTATAATGCAACTGACACAGCAGCAAATCTGGTATCACTTCCAACTAAGGTTTACAGAGACAAAGGGATGGGTATAGGTCTTACCAGACCTAGCCAGCTGTTGGAGATTTAATTAATTCCTAAGTGCCTTAAAAGGATGTAGCTGGGTAAGGAAAAATGCAGAAGCAGAGCTAAAGTAGTGTTTGCAACAGAAGTGATGAGTCTGGCTGCCTGAGCGGTGTGTGTATACACACACACACACACATATATATATATATATATACACACACATATTAGTTTCTTTGGGCAAGACCAGGAGTGTACAGATGCAGGGACACAGACTGTCTAACTGCAATCCATCTCCCTTAAGAGTTTCATTCTCCCTAGGTGTGAGAGTTCTTCCTTGATTTGTTTCAGCCTCACAGTGTTAAGACCTCAGAAGAGGCAGCTTAAGCAGAAAACCATCTTGCTTTCTGCC